CTCACCCAAATAATCTCCCAAGTATCTAATGGGACCGGTTCCTCAAAATTTTGTGCCCATTTAACCATACATTCTTTAACTAATTCTGCTTCTGAATCCAATTCTACTAGCACCCCATAAATTCTTTTAATGTGAGTTCGTCTTTGATCTTTTATTTGCTTTAACAAATTCTCATCTTCTCTAAGCAAACCCACATTACAATCTATCTTCCACCTCTCCACTATTTGTCTATACTGAAACCATGAATAAATAATGTTTTCTTGTGTTAAATCTTCCAAAGATTTTAATTGCCAATTTTTACCATCCCATCTAAGTAATTATGCATAAGAAACACTATCCATCTTGACTCCTCTCCTTATCCCTTCTATCGCATGCCATGGTATAGCCCATAATGGAATTTTAAAATCACTTCTATAATATTTCTTCCAAACCCGAAGTAGAGAAGTCCTTATAATATGAGATTTAAAAACCCTATCAACTTTTTTATTAAAAATTAAATAGGCATGCCATCCAAAAAGTAAATCCCAACCCTCCAAGAGGAGTACTTCTACATTTGTTAAATTAACCCAATCACTTATTAATATTAAAACCGCAGCGTCATAATACAATTTCAAATTCTGTACTTGAGTCCACCTCTCTCACGAATGTCTTGTATAATTTTAAGTTTTACTCTTGGTTTTTTCCCTGCCCAGATAAATCTATTGATACCTTTCTGCCATTCATTTAAATTAACCTCATTCTTTAAAATGGGTATCATTTGAAATAAAAAAAGAAACTTTGGCAGAACATTCATTTTAATCGCTGCAATTCTCCCCAAAAGAGATAATTGCAGCTTTTCCCAATTTTCCAAATCTTTTTGTATGCTTTACGTAATTTTAATTCTTTAATTACTATCTCAATTTCCTCACTAGTAATCAAACCATTAATTTCTTGTTTCTGATCTTCTGTTAATTTAGGGGAGTTAGCATCTTTTAAATAATTATCTATATCTGAAACCTGTACTTTAGCACTCATATATAATTTTTGATAATAGTCTAAAAAAGATTTCTTAATCAACTCCTGATATACCAATTTACCATTATAATTTATTTTATCTATAATTCTCTGTCTCTGCTTCTTTCTCAATTGATAAGCCAACCATCTCCCTGGTTTATTGGCATTACAAAATGTATTTTGTTTCATATACAATAAGTTAGTTGCAGTTTGATCATCCATCCATCAACATATTAAATTGTGATTTAAGCAATTTTATAGATTCCTTAATCTTCTCATCTGTGGAATTTAAAATCAGAGCTTTTTCTTTTAATTTAATCTCATCTTCCAACTCCTTACGTTTCTGCACCTGCTTCTGTCCATAAACCTTATTCATTTGTATCAAAATCCCGTGCATGTAGGCTTTACCTGCATCCCAAACCATTGACATTGAAGTTCCCTTATACATATTTAAAGCAAAATAATCCTTTAAGTGCTCCTTTAATTTTGAACATTCTTTTCTTGTCTAAATAAATTTTCATTCATCCTCCAAGATCTCCTCTCCTCTTTTTCATTAACCAATTCCATCCAAACTGGACTATGATCCATCAGTGTCCTAGGAAAGATCTTGACATTCTTTACCCTAAAATATAAATCCGTTGTAATCAAGAAAAAATCAATTCTTGAGAAAGATTGATGTCTGTCCGAAAAGAAGGTAAAGTCTCCTCCAAATTATGTTCACGCCAATAATCTCGCAGTTCCCAATCCTCTTTCAAATCAAAAAAAGCTTTAGGTAATTTAGCCTGTTTAAAAGAAATAGAGGGTCCTTTTTTGTCTCTTTGTCCAAAACACCATCCAGTCTCCCATTAATATAACAGATCTATAATCCAAACAAGTTAGTTTTTGATGTAACAATCTATAAAATTGTTCCTGTTGTTGATTTGGTGCATACAATCCCACTATAAGTACTTTCTTGCCATACAAACCCACTTCAATCATAACATATCTCCCTTGAGAATCAGATTCTACTAAACAGTTTGATAAATTTTGCTTAACATAAATAACTACTCCCCCTTTTTTCCCAGGAGCAGAAGATACAAAATGGGATCCCAATCGAGCATTAACTAGATATTTTTGGTCCTTAGAAATAATATGTGTTTCCTGCAAACAAATAATATTGTTATGTTGCTTTAAGTAGTAAAATATTTTCTTTCTCTTTTGAGGGGAATTAAGGCCATTAGCATGTATCTTGGTCCAATATTTTTTCACTTCAGGGCACAGCCACCAAGCATGAAAGAAGGTACCTTGATGATAGTTACATTTCCAACATTTTGGGCTTTGGTTTGGACACATTTTGGCCAATCTTGCAGGGGCTAGGTGCCAACGGTATAGCATTTTATATTGATTTTCCTTATATGCAGCAGATTTTGTTATTTTGTAATTTTTATTCCACATTCTTTCCCAATCTTCTAATTCTATATTGTGCCCTATGTTTTTTGCCCATGCAATCATCGGTTCTTTCACTATCGCCTCTACTCTATCAAATTCTAATAAATAATTATATATTTTGGATATTAATTTTCCTTCAGGGCCTATCAATAGTTTGTCTAATTGTTTTAATTCCATGTCAATTCCATACTCTTCCATATTTTTCTTATATCTAGATTGCAATTGTAAATTTGGCCACCAATCAAGTTATTCCCTGTTCTTTTAATAACTGACTGTTTTTGAGCTTCCCCTGTTCTTCTAAAATTTCAGAATATCTGGGCATTTTGTTTATATCCAATGTGTTAGGGTGGATCATTGCCTCCATGGTAGATAGCCAGCAAGGAATTTTCCTATAGTGTTTTTTCCTTATATCCTCCCAGGTTCGTAACAGTGCATCTCTTATTTTATGTCTATAGAAATATAAGTGTATCCTATTTCCTTTATCCCACATGAAGCCATGCCACCCCTTCTGTAAATTGTACCCTTCCAGTGTTAAGATTCTTCTTTTCTTTAAGTTAACCCAATCTCTTATCCAGACCAGAGTTGCTGCTTTGTAACAGATTTCCCACGCTGGAAGTCCAAAGCCACCTCTACTTCTGTTGTCTTGGAGAGAGACAATAATTTTATCCTCGCCTTCTTTCCTAACCAAACATATTTTGTAATAATTTTATTAAGTTCTCAAAAAAAATTCTTATCTAATGATATTGGAATTGTCAGAAATAAGTATAGTAATTTGGATAGGATATTCATTTTGATAGTTGCGATCCTACCTAAAAGCGATAAATGTAGCCTCCCCCACTTTTCCAAATCTTTCTTTATTTGTTGGACTAATACCATATAGTTATCCTCCTTTAAGGACGAACATCTTGCTAATATATATTGGTTTCCAAGATTTCTTATTCTTTTTAACCATAATTAAAAATATGTTTAATCTTTAAATATTCCATTTTACATTTAGTCATTTAGTCCTTTAACTCTTATTCAAAACATTTTTATCCATTATAATTTTCTGAAATTCAATCATATTTAAATATCTAAAACATTTCCTTTATCTAAGCCATTTCAACTTTTTTATATTATTCATATCAACAAATAGAATAAAAAAGGGGGGAAAACCAAACTATATTATTTAGGGGATTCATCCGTCTTAGAATGACATATATATTCCAAATCTTTTCTGTTTCTTTAACCGTATTCAAACAAATGTTTCTTTTTAAATATTCTCTCTGGTAGGTCCCATCATCTATTTTCTTGATTTCCACTTTGGTCTTTTTCCTTTGCGCGGTATCTTTCTTAATCAATGTATTTTGCTGAGTCAAAAGGTTTTTCCGTATGTTCTTAAATGTTTGTGTAGACATAAAAAGTAAACCAGATGAAGTGTCTTTGTACGGGGCTTCTGCCTTTCCATGTTTGTTGAAAATCTTTTTCTTTCTCTTCTCTTATCATTTCCTTTCTCTCTGATGTTCCTGACATTTCTACAGTCCATTTTATCCAATCTGTTTTCTTCCCCTCCGATTTATTTTGCAGTCTTAAGGGATAAGTTGTTTTTTCCAATTCTTGTGATTTTTTTCTACTAGGATTAAATCATGTTTCTTTTTTTTTGTTAAGTTCTATCTTTAAGTCTCTATTTTCAATTTTGTATCCATTTATCTGTTTTATCTGCTCCTTTTCTGTTGTTGTTTTCTGGGAATTATTTTTGTTGTAGAGTTAACTTAGAAATAGATTGATTTATATTTTCAAAGTTATTCTGGATTTCTTTGTGGTTTAAAATCATTGTTTGAATTAGTTGCAGTATACTATGTATCTCCTTCTGTAGAGTATTTATGTTTTCCTGATATATTCTTTCTACATGTCTCTGATCCATGATGGCCAAGAATTTGAGTTTTTCTCTTCTTTTCTTTACTCTGCAAACAGCTTTAGAGTCCCAATTAAATAGATATTTGTAATCCAAATAGTTCAAAAAAGATTTTTTCCCTGAAATTTATAATTCTCTTTGTCTACAGCCCAGATTATTGCCTCTTTTTTGTCACAACTTTGAAGGTCACAAACACAGATTAGTTTTTCCCAGGCTTTGCCAAGTCTTATATTAAAATCATAGCTGTCATAGTCTTCATCCACCACTAGGTGTCAGCATCTATTTGTTTTTCAATTTTCAAAATGGACAATAATCTACAGAATGAGAGTCTAACCATTCAACAATTTTAGATTTATTCAGATTTGAGTTTTAAATTTCAGGTTTTATATTTGTTTCACTTCCATATATTTTGATCCTCCATAAAAAGATTAATTCGCCACTTTCGTTAGTATAAGGGTGGGGAGGAAATCCCCCTCCTTCCCTTTCGGAGGTATTTTGCTTCTTGGGGATCTTTTCCAGGAAATTAAATATAGAATAGAAAAGAGAAGATCAAATTTCTCACTCAGTTTCAAGAACGCAAAACCGGAAGTCAGGTCAGACCTTCTTCAGCTTTTAAGCCCAGTTGGTCAAATGCTGCCATTTAACAGGCCATTTCTTTGGAAAACCAAAGGATCAGAAAACAAGCAATGATTTATACAATTTTATTGCTGTGGTTACTTGAGAATTTACATGAAAACATATTCTCAAAAGATTCTATTTAGTGATTGGGAAGTGGGGCTTAATCTGGGATCCTTTTTAGGCAACAGTGGGACCTGGGTATATGGATATGTTTGTGGGGTGACTCCATATGAGCGTATTGTAAATGCCACAGAACTAACAATAGAAGAGAATATTCTAGCACTGATGATGTTACCTAGCTGGGTAATGAAACGTCTGCAAGAAGAGAAGCTCAGAGAGCATCAAGGACCCCACTGTCCCAGAAGTGGACAGAAATGGAAAGATATTCAGAGCTTAAAATATTTGGAATGGTCCATTTTTGAATCAGAAAAATTTGCACCTCATCCTAAAACTGGTCTCCATTTTACTGAGATTGTTTTATACTGAAATTAAATGGGACATGATCCCTACAGCACTATTTTGAGCATTTCTTACTCCAAAGGCAGTCCTATTTGAGTCTAAAAAAAGCTTACTGCCTGGGAATATATTCCAATGCATTTGATTATGGTTAGGGATATAGAAGAGATGTACTAATATGTTACATTTACAGTTTTCACGGGGGGCAAGTTGCAGCTGTATTTCCTGCAATAATGCTCTGAATCCAGTCATTATAATCAAAGACCTTGGTGTAGACACCAGGCTTAAGAGCTTGGCCACAAGGATGCGCCCCATAAAATACAATGCCATGGAATTGTCCATTACAGATGAGGGGTCCCCCAGAGTCACCCTGTTGAGAAAAATGAAACATTACTACCGTATCTATGAATAGGAAGTGGAGCAAATAATTCCCTCCCACCGCCCATTTACATTTAGCCCCCAATGTTTCACTTCGATGTTCCCCAATCCAGGATCCTTGTAGAAGAATTTAACTCCTTGAGTTTCCCCCACCAGAATCACCAGTATTGGGAAGTCTGGAAATCTAGACACCTAGAAGGCACTTGAATTAGAAAAAGCCGTAACTTTGTATGTTTCTAAAAGATGCCTTTAAGGCTAGATCTTTGTCATAGCTTTGAAAATTAGCATCATTTCTTTAGGAACCTGCTTTAAAATGGATCATCTTACCCCACATGTATCTTTGCCTCCTTGCACGATACCTGCACACAATGTTCTGCTTGTCGCCGGCAATTCTGGATAAGGTGGTTGACACACCGCATCATCGAGTAGGTTAATGTTAGCACAATAAGGGACATCAGGCAAAGTCTCTGAAAAAAAATAAAAAATAGGCAAAATTCTACTTTTCACAATTTACTACCTAGATGCATAGAGCTATAATTTCCATTGTCTCCAACCAGTGGAGCTGATCTCATTGCCTGGGAATAGGAAGTATTGTCTTTCAAAGCCGTTCAAAGGGACTCCTGGGAAAAACAGATTTACTTAAATGTTTGCAAAAATGTTTTTTGTCAAGATATTAATAGGTCTTAAATCAGCTGATGGGCATCTGAAGGCTTCTCAGAAGTGATCTCGCATCCCCTGGAGATGACCTAGAATGGGGGTCTCCAAACTTGGCAACTTTAAGACTTGTGAACTTCCACTCCCAAAATTCCTCAGCCAGCATACTGAAACGTCTATATCTGAAGACGAAGGAGATCCATAAGTTTGTATTGTGTACAAGAATAAAAAGCCAGGAATCTTGTCTAAAAGATCCCTTGGGGAGGACAGATGAGGTGGAAATAAGTCTTAGGAAACAAAGGAAAAATTTCATCTGAATCAGACAAACCTGGGCTTGAGAATATGGAATAAACCCCAATCCCAGCTGATCAACAAATCAAGAACTTTTGAGGATAAAAAGGGGTCCTAAAGCTCACCCACTCCCTGAGTCGTCTTTGGATCCACAACTTAGGAGTTTCTGTCCCTCTAGTTTTTGCCTGTCAGCCTAATTGAGAAAGATGTGTCTAAACATGGATGGGTGCATTTGTGCTCATGAGAAAGCAAATTTACATTGCAAGCAGTAAAGTTTTGCTGTTACTTTAAATTCACTGGGTCTCCATGTATTCCAAAAAACCTGTGGTGCCTCAGTGGTTAGTTGAAAATTATTTGTGTGAGTCCTTAATTATTTCCCAGCTCTTGACAAAGGCTGTGTGACTTGTCTGCTCTAACTACACCTATTTGGTAGAAACCTAGGTACAAAACAAGGTGGGCTTACAAGATCTACCTATCCTGGCAGGCTTGAATGTGTGGATGACCATAAAGCAAGCTGAGAGTGCATGTAACACTTCCATGGCCTTAGTAGCAATAACAATAGCACTTAGGCCTATATGCTGCACTCTCTGGGTGATTTACAATATCTGCATATTGCCCCTAACAATCTGAGTCCTCCTTTTATCAACCTCAAAAGGATGGAAGGCTGAGTCAACCTTGAGCCCCGCCAGGCTCGAATTCCAGGCTGGGAGCAGAGATTGCCTGCTCGGAGTCCTAGTGGACAATCACTTAAATATGAGCCAGCAGTGTGCTGCAGCTGCCAAAAAAGCCAACACAGTGCTAGGCTGCATTAACAGAGGGATAGAATCAAGATCACGTGAAGTATTAATACTACTTTACAATGCTTTGGAAAGGCCACGCTTGGAATACTGCATCCAGTTTTGGTCACCACGATGTAAAAAAGATGTTGAGACTCTAGAAAGAGTACAGAGAAGAGCAACAAAGATGATTAGGGGACTGGAGGCTAAAACATATAAGGAACAGTTGCTGAAATTGGGTATGTCTAATTTAACGAAGAGAAGGACGTGGAGGGACATGATAGCAGTGTTCCAATATCTCAGGGGCTACCACAAAGAAGAGGGAGTCAAGCTATTCTCCAAAGCACCTGAAGGCAGGACAAGAAGCAACGGATGGAAACTAATCAAGGAGAGAAGCAACCTGGAACTAAGGAGAAACTTTCTGACAGTTAGAACAATTAACCAGTGGAACAACCTGCCTCCAGAAGTGGTGAATGCTCCATCCCTGGAAGTTTTTAAGAAGAGGCTGGACAGCCGTTTGTCTGAAATGGTATAGGGTTTCCTGCCTGAGCAGGGGTTGGACTAGATGATGACGATGATGATGATTTCTATTATTAATAGTATAATTATAACCACTGCACCACCAGGACCTAAAAGGAGGAAGTCCTCTGCAACCACCCACAGAGATTTTATATCCATCCAAGGATAGACCATGTTTTTGAGTTCATATTTGATATTTTGAGAGCAAGTGGTAAATATACTCTGAAAACATCATCCGTGGGAGACTTCTCCATTTATAAAATGGCCATGACTATTCACAAAACACCCGCCATGGCCATTCACAAAACACCCCATTATTAAAGGTAATGAAGTCATGCAAGACTGCCATGCTAATGAGACTTTTCTGATTCCCAACAGCACTGCTATAAATAAACCTGACCCTATAGGGTTTTTTTTTAGCTATACAGCATGCCAGTTCCTTACTTATTTTTTTTTTTATTCCAAGGACCCTGTGGTCATGGAACTGATGAATAAATGGAATCTTAGGGAATCGCATTATCCATCCACATGCCAATATTCATGGGTGACGTAGTGGGACCCTGGACCTAGTTGATGTTACATCAAAAGCTGTGTCTGAGATTATAGAGAGAGATCCCTACTTTCAATAGGTGTGATTGATCCCCATCCGATAATACGGCAAACTGAGCCCACACTGGGAGCGCTGGAAGGCAAGCTGAGAGGCGCGATGTGTTCACTGTTGCTAACAGGACTGTCCAGCTTGATCAACATGATGTCCTTGTCCAGTACATCATCTTTTTTCTTATTGGGACAAAAGAACTTCTCCTTTGGGTTTCTTGTCTGCTCATCCTCATTTGGTACCTTTTTGCTATGCACACCAAGCTTCATTTTGAAATTTGTACTGCAAGAAAAACAACAACAAGTTAACAACAACAACTTAAAGTAAATTCTATATTACTTGGGATGGTCCTTGACCTCATTTTGGCCCTCAAGCAGGATCGTTAGCACCAAACAAGAAAGGGCCCTAACCTACCTTCTCCAATTGTGTTTGGGGGGGGGGGAACCTGCCAGAATCCTGGAAGAGTTACAGTCAATGTCCTAGAGATCTGGGTTCACTCAAGAAATTTACTCAAAGTGATTGAATAAGCTATTTCCATTGTTTATGTAAAATCTTGAAGCTTGAATTCACCTGTGTTGTTTTTAGCACTCAGAAAGCTCAGCATATAGTATGAATACATCTCTTTCTTGACTTGGATGTGTATTGTGTGAATGTTGCACTTATAAATTATAGATGACTGTGTTAAAGATAGAACCCATGTGGTTACAGTACTAATGTTATGACTTTGTATTGTGCACATCCTCTCTCAACCCAGCCTTTCTCAAAGGATGGTGGGATAGATAAAGACAAACACAAAATCTGGATGGTGCCCACTCTGCCCTTGTTTTAGAAGAGGTATTAAGATGTAGTGCCTCACCCAGGCCTTTGATAAGGGAGAGAGAAGCCTCTCACTTCATCATCTTTTTAGGTTTTATGTTTTACTGATTTTTTTAAAAAAATATTTTCTTATGGCAACCCCAGAGTCAGACAGCATATGTTATTATCATCTGGTTAGTTGTGGAGTCAGTCAGATATTTAGACTGGATTTGGCATTTTTATCCACCTATCAAGTCCTTCCCAAGGACCTGGGGTAGGTAAATTTTGTGGTTCCATGGTATTAAAGGGATTGTCACAGGATGTTCCAAGTAAGGCTGCCTTTTGCAATTGACTGTGGTGATTTTGTCAAAGCTGATGGTATTCAGGTAATGTTCCAGATTTTGTTATTCTTGTTGTTATTATATCCCAGAAAAAAAGAAAGATGAATATTATGGTGAAGAAGATGGAAATTCAACCATAAATATATTGCTCAAGACATGATTGTGAGGAGCAATAAGAATAACAGCATAACACACATTCAAAATGCACAGAGAAGTCACTAAAAACTAGCAGAAACGTTATAAAAAACTGGATATCTAAACACGATCTCCTTCACCCCTTCCACATTCTGTAATGCCCTCACCTGTCGCAGTGTGCAGCAGTGACCACCCATTCCTGGTTGATCAAAGTCCCACTGCAGAAAAACCCGGTAGAGTTAAAGATGGCTACAAGGGAACGATGTTCATTTATGTTACATTCATCACCTCCAACGACCAGTTCAGAAGACTTTTGTGCTGCAAAGAAACCAAAAACGTTCAGTGGTTGCCTGTGGAGTAGAACAGAATCACTTTTATTGGTAGTGTTTCTATCAGTACACTAATTTTGGAGGTTAATAGATGACTGTGGGCACACAGCATCAAACCAGTAGAATAAAATGGATTATTTGCAAATCATACATATGCCTATGCCGATGTAGGTAAACTACCTGTGAATCTTAAATGATTAATCTCTCTCTCTCTCTCTCTCTCTCTCTCTCTCTCTCTCTCTCTCTCTCCCCACACAAACATACACTTTTGAGAAAGGGCATCAGAATTTCGTTTTTAATGTGTGACAGTGTGCTCACAGAAAAGTGACAATAAAGGTTATCCTATCTTATCTTAAGATAACTCAGTTTGAGATCTTCTTGTTTAACATAACAACATAGGAAAATTTATTCCCCATTCTTTCAAATATGGTTTATGAAAGCAAAAATTCATTAAATATTACGCAGCTAGCTCACCGTGCTCTGAAATAAGATATGACCAGGGTCTTAACACTTTAGTGAAGCAGGCTTTGCTTTGTTAGTGCTGATAAGATTTGGCTTAGAAAGATTTCCAAACAGGAGAGTTGACTTATTCAATAGGGAAGTGAAACAGACACTTTTATCACCCCCTGAATTCTCACTCCAGGATCCTAGTTATTTAAAGCAGGGTCTTGTTGTTGGAACTATAGAAGCTCCTTAGAGCATCTTATAAACCACAATATCAATGAGCTGATTGTACTTTCAACCAATTAAACCAGTGTTTCTCAACCTTGGCAACTTGAAGATGTATGGATTTCAATTCCCACAAGTCCCTGGCCAGCATGGGGAATTCTGGGAATTGAACTCCATACATCTTCAAGCTGCAAGACAAAAGCCATAATCCGAAAGCTTGTACAAGGAAAGCTGGAGACAGATCTTTAATACTTTCCACTCAGTCTCCCTGCACAGTGAGGAACTAGTTATTTATACAGGTAGTTCTTGACTTACAACAATTACTTTAGTGACCATTCATATTTACAATGGCCCTGAGGAGTTAATGAGCAGCGGAGAAGTGAAACAAAATATGCCACAGCTTCTCATAAAACCAGATGCCTTAGTTCTCAGCCATCAGAATGGCTGATGCTATTCAGTTTTTCACATGACCATTACAGCATTCCCACGGTGACGTGAAAAAAATTCAGATGCTTAACATGTGACTCATATTTATGACAGTTGCAGTGTCCCTGGGTTGTGTGATCACTTCTGACAAGCGAAGTCAATGAAGAAGCCAGATTCATTTAACAACAGTGTTACTAACTTAACAAAAGTAGTGATTGACTTAGCCGCTGTAGTAAGAAATGTCGTAAAATGGGATAAAACTCACTAAACAGATTTTTCACTTAAGCAACAAAAATTTTGAGACTTCTAGTCTCTTGAAGGATATAGCCAGAAAGATCAAAGACTTCTAGAAGCAACATTTCAAGACAAGACAAATACTTTCTAAGTCTAAGAAGAAATTTATGCAATGCTACAACAGATACAAATCACAATAAACCATGAGGAGATTAAACATAACTTTGGCAACATAAATGAATACACTTCTAACTTAAATTTACAATCAAAACACATTCAAAGAATGATGGTAAAGAATGAACAAACAAATCAGATAACAGTATGTGAACTAGAAAAAAATGACTTAATTGGCAAAGTCACAAATGAAGGGAATTGTGTTGGTCCAAACAAGATTTCTGCTTTAATCTTGTTCTTCTCAATCAGATAAATGCCAAAGAATGGAATAATATTGGATCATTTATTCAACAGGAATCTCAAACAATAACTTACAGTCAAGAAAAGTTCTTCTGTGAACATATCATGACCTTCTCCATTCTTTTGGGTGAATGACTGATGGTGAACTCACCCCATGGCTCTTATGGGATATATCACCTTGTGTCTTTCTTCACAAAGGCTTCTTTTACAAGCTGGCACATAGCCAGGATATCCTCTGATGAACTTGGTAGCCCCTCCCACTGACTTGTTAACATAGGATTCACTGAACAGCTAAAACTACATTACCCATAAGCCATCTCTTAAGGAGACAGTGCTTAATCCTTTAAATGCCAAACATTCTAACATACAGTTCCAGCACAGAAATTATAACTTAATACAAATAAGAAAAAACTCACAATGTGGAAATATGGAATAAATAAATATGGAAAAGATACCTTATGCATTAGAGCATCAAAATAAACCTGAGAAGAAAGAAGGCTGAACAAAATGGACACTGTTAGAAGAATCACTGTTTGAGAGACAAAAAGCATACATCTTGCGTATTATGTATCCTTTACGCCTAACAACAACTACAAAAATACAAGAACTGTTTGACAAGTCAAAAATATTATTATGGAAAACAATTTGGCAAAGGAAGAAGATTAGAGATGGGCTCAAGAGACTTGACTCGCCTTACCAGATGGAATATTATACGAGCAAACACTTGTTTGAATATGGCTAAATAAATAAATAAAGGGGCTTTAGAATAAATGGGATAAGAGATATAAGTAATATAGTATTTTTTGATAAGATACAAAATTAAAAATATTGGGATGATGAAAGTGAAAGAAAAGTTTGAACTTTAAAGACAAATTAAGTTTGAAAAGATTTAGGATTCAGGAATGATTGAAATACTGAGGGAAATTGGGCTTAATAAGAACTTTGAAAAAAGGATATATAGTGATTCAATCAATTTTTATCAATAGAAGTGAAATATAAATTGATTAGAAAAGATGTCATATGTAGATGTTATGATACATAAGTAGCATAGTATTTCTATAATATATGAAATATGAAAATACTGGGGTGATATATTTAAGTGGAAAATTTGAATATTTAGATGTTAATTATTGAGAAAATTATGATTGATAAGAATTGTTGAATATTATGGAGAAATTGAGCTTAACCAAGATTTATGAAAATAATATAATATAATATTATAATATAAGATAACTTTTATGAAAATAACAGAAGCTGATAAGAAAAAATGATATATATGGACGCTATTATTATTTTTAAAAATATAGAAGACTACTCAGTAACTTAATGGTATCACTGCCAGTCAGATTACGCTAATTAGTTGAAGTAAGAAGAATAGTTCAGATGAAGTTCTAAAAAGGAAGGACATTTAGAAGCATTTGGTCCAGAGTCTGATCATGGTGTACTAAATTGCTAAACAAAATATATGGCCTCATGATGTGGAGAATAGGGGGCAGAAGGAGTGAAAGTGGGGAAGAGATTGATGAAAATGGAATTTAATCTATGGGAAGTTGATAACATTAGTATTTTGTTCACTAAAAACAGTTTGAGCCAACATTGATGGCAGTAAAATCCCTGCATACTGGTTTTGATATTTGTTTCAGACACAATAACCCAGATATTGCATGCTGTATAATGCAGCAAATTTAACAGAATGGGAGCTAGGTTAAATCCAACAGATTTATTTTACCACTTTGGACAAAAATCAATGGCCATCTCATACACCATTTTTTAAAGACCCCCTTAACACTGAAAACCACTCCCCAATTTTTTTCTCAATGCATCTTATATTAATTAATAAGTTATCTTCCTCTGTTGAAGTCAGTTGCCAAATAAATAGAAACACGAAGGAAGCTGACCATATTTGGGATTATATATTTTTAACTGGCTAGTTTTGCTGATATGAATAAATGTATCAATTCATACTATCATTACAAATGCAGCAATAGTCTTCCCCATTTGCACCAATTGGGCCTTCTTCTCTCACTCTCTACTTGTGACCTGCTTGTACATCAACAGTTAATAATTACATGCAAGTTGACTCCTGTAACTGGAGGTTTAAACTGAAAAAGACATCTAAAGCTCCATTCACCCTTGGCTCCATTGTCCAGGCTCTTACCATAAGAAAGCTGCAGTATCAGAAGGTTTACTAGCAGTCTGATCAGAACCATAGCTTCAACTCTGCGAGGAAAGCTGTTTGCCTGGAATTTAGAAATGGGGAACAATTTTGGAAAGAATGCACAGTTCGAAATATTTGATTAATCACTTTGTTCTCTTCCACTCCGAGGCAGAAGGACAAATGTGGAAAAAAAGCCAGTTTCTCACCTGTAAGATCCCAATCCCTTACTTAAAATTGAGATACCGTATCAGTCTAATCAGATAACCCAAGCGGAGACTTCTTGATCAAGCAGCACTTTATTTGATCAAATTAAGCAGCTGGGTGGCCAACAATCTGGAACGCTGGCAGAGTTATGTCCAGAAGTGTCACATCTTAGAAAGTTGATAGCATTGCTTTATACACTTTGTTAGCCAATGAAAATCAGACAACAGAGCCATTACATCATAAAAAAGACATCAATCATTCCTGTACACTCCCTTATTTCCTCCTTCAGTATATCCCGTCTATGTACACGTTTCCCAAGCTTGCATGAAATTTCTCTGGTGAAAAAGCTGATTACAAAAAGCAAGAAACCAACAGTTAGACTACATAATTTCCTTTTGTTCCAGAATCTTTCATATCCTTATGTAACTTGGTTCTATATCATGCAGGCTGAAAAGTGGTGAGATTCATATAGGTGAACAACCAGTTCTCTATGTGGATGCCGCTTCTGGAAGTCCATTCTGGGCCTTGGTAACAAAAAATTAGCTACCGGTTCTGCCAAAGTTGTGCGAACCAACTGAATCCCACCACTGAGCCTTAAGCATGAAACAACACTGATAACAAGACTGGATATGTATCTCAACAATATCAGACCCTTCTAGAAAGCAAAAAACCCTAATATGTGATTAATTCAGTCTATGTGAGAAGTTGGTGTAGAATTCACTTCAGCTTTAGAACCGAAGGAAAAAATATTTTTTTTCTTTTAACTGGAAATATTTTTAAACCTAAAAAAGCCAGGGCTGTTAGACCATATAAAGGCAACCACACGCTCAGTTGTGTGGGTGGTGTGGCAAAACGACTGTTTCTGTATTGTGAATAGCGGGGGCAAGTGATACTAACTTAAGTCCAACAATTTTCAGGCTTGTGAGACTGGTTTGAAAACACCACATTTTCTATTCTAGGATCTAGTTTTGAAAAAAGGAGATCAGGAAAGCTGGCTATGCACAGCACTGGATTTATGCTTTCCATAGCTATAATTTGTTTGAATTTGATTTGTTTAAAATTAGCCTTAACCTTTTAATATCTTCCTTTCCAGATGCCTGGACTTCATCTCCTAGAATTTTCCAGTCAGGATGGTAATTCTGGAGAATTTGGGAAATTGAAGTCTGTACAAGTGGGGGGAGGGTATCCAGCTATGGTATCGGACTGGCTCAGGAATTCTGGGAGTTGAACTCCACAAGTCATAAGGGGAGCCATAGTTCCCCACCTCTGCTCTAGAAGCAGCAACGCTTTTGGGGTTGGGACCCAACAGGAAAAGAGGGGCAGACTACAGCATCCTTGCGCCCGTTCTTCCGGTGCTGCTCTAGCCTCCCCATCACTGATTCCAGCATCTTGGTGGCCTGTTCTGCAGGTGAAAGTCACTGTGAGGAAGCTGCTGCTTCATCAGCCTCATTGCGATGAGAAGCCGGGAGCTCATTCCCAGCCAGCCCGGGACAGGAGCCTGGCTGCTCCAGGCTTTGCTTCTGTCCTCAGAGGGAATTACCTGGAATTACCCAAGAGTGCAGTAAGGGCCAGTTCTCAGGGCACCCCTACCCCGATATGTGTGGGTTGCAGGTTGCGTCCTCCTGGTAATTTGCACCTCAGTTTTGGGGATGGGTAGAGATAGAAAAGTCTGGGGGAAAAAACCCTTTTTGTTTGGCACCATACAAATGAAATACGTGCATGATGTTGTAAGGTCCCAGTTTCTTACTTAAACTGGAGATACCATATTAATGTAATTAGATAACCCAAGTGGAGAATTCTTGATTAAGCAGCACTTTATTTGACCAAATTAAGCAGCTGGGTGGCCAACAATCTGGAAGGCTGGCAGAGTCCCATCCAGAAGTGCCACATCTTAGAAAGTTGGTAGCATTGTAATAATAATAATAATAATAATAATAATAATAATAATAATAATAATAATAATAATAACAACAACAATAACAACAACAACAACAACTGTAAGGACCCACCCCACTTTGCATCTTAAGAAGACAGAACTCTTGGAATAATTCTTCCAACAGGAATCCTTTATTAAGAGAAAATGGTTGCAGGCATGCTAGACAGGACTTGGGGTTCAAGCTCTCCCATTCAAGGTTTTAAGGGGTTCCCCAGTAGTCCCACCCAATCAACCCCCCTTCCAGTGATAGTTTCAAGTATCACAATTCCATCCCCTTTCTTCTTCCGTCTGGATGGAGACTTCAGATAACTACATGAAAGGCAATTACTCTTCTTTGATATGTTAACGCTTAGAGGCCACAATAAACACACATTCAGTCCTTTGAAGTGTGCTGAAGGAAGTGAGGGCCATAAAGCCCCTTTGCTCTCCCCCTTTTCTCCCTCTTATGGCAGAATCCAGAGAAGGCAGAATTGGGAGTTTCTATGTTTGATAATTAAAGATGAAATATAATTGGATTCTGACATCCGGCCCCTCTTAACAATAAGAGAGATCCACCTGAAAGAAAACACAAGTAAAAAATTTAGTTAGGCTTGTTAGGATACTCTGTGTGAAACTTCTTCAATAGCTTCGGGGCTCTGACGTGACGTTTATGGACCCACTCATTTTGTGAGGCAGGGAGGTGTTTCCAGGCAACTAGGTACTGAGTTGTTCCACGATATCTCCTAGAGTCAAGGATCTCTTTTATTTCGAAGTGTTGTTCCCCCTCCACCATGATTGGAGGTGGTGGGGGGGGGATTTTTGGCCGTAGAGGTGACTGATGCTCTCTTTTCAGCAAGCTGCAATGAAAAATTGGGTGTATTTGCCTGAGGTTTTTGGGTAATTCTAATTCTACTGTTACTGGATTTATGATCCTTTTAATTGGAAAAGGTCCTATATATTTTGGTCCAAGTTTTTTACAGGGCTGTAGGGACTTTAGGTATTTTGTAGATAAGTACACCATTTCTCCTATAATGAATGGTGTAGGCTCAACCCTTTTTTTATCGGCTTGTGCTTTGTATGCCCGCCTAGCTTCATCTAGTGATTTTCTGACTATTGGCCAGGTGTTTTGTAGGTTTTCCATCCATTCTTTCAGTGAAGGGATCGTTGGTTCTTTTGGGGTTAACTCTGGCATAGGGTTGAAACTTTGGCCGTTGGCTATTTGAAAAGGAGTGTAGCCTGTGCTGGAGTGGACTGCATTATTGTAGGCAACTTCTGCAAAAGGAAGTAAGTCCGTCCAATCACTCTGTTGGAAATTTAAAAAACATCTCAAATATTGCTCAAGTACCGACTGGCAGCGTTCCGCTTGTCCATCTCCTTGAGGGTGGTGGCTAGATGTCAATCCCTGAGTGGTCCCTAAGAGGGATAAAAATTCCTTCCAAAATGCAGACGTAAATTGCACTCCCCTATCAGAGATGATGCGTTGGGGTGCCCCGTGCAATCTGTAAATGTGCTGGATGAAAAGTTTTGCTAAGGCCTTTGCAGTGGGAATTTTTTGGCAAGGGATAAAGTGCACCTGTTTGGAAAATAGGTCCGTGACTGTCCAGATAACAGTATTCCCATTGCTTTCAGGCAATTCCACTATAAAATCCATGGCTATTTCCCTCCAGGGGGCTGAGGGACTTGCCACTGGTTGTAACAGCCCTGGCGATTTCCCTTGCAACCTCTTTGCTGATGCACAGGTTGGGCAGCTGGCAACATAACTTTCTATGTCCTTTTTTATTGATGGCCACCAAAATTGCCGTTTAATTAAGTGTAAAGTTTTTACAAATCCAAAATGCCCTGCTGATTTTGTGTCATGGCAAAGTTGCATGAAAGTTAGTCTTTGAGTTGTTGGTATATATAACTTTTCCCCTACCCAAGGCAATCCGTCTCTCATTGTGCACACATGTTTGTTTTTCTGGAACCAATCATCTGTTTCCAAACTTTTTCTGAATTCAATCCCAGTTTGGCTGTCCAGTTGTGGTTTTATTTTGGCTTGGGTTCTTGTGGTTACTGGCGCTGCCAGTTGTGACTCTGCCATTATTGGTCTAGAGTCTGTGGTTCGTGTGCTGTTATATTGGGGCATGCGAGATAGTGCATCTGCCAGGAAGTTCTTTCTTCCTGGTAAATGTTTGAGCTTAAATTGGAATTGGTGAAAATGCTGGGACCAGCGGGCTTGTTTGGGATTGAGTTTCCTGGAAGTTTTCAGGGCTTCTAAATTTTTGTGATCAGTCCATACCTGGAAGGGGATTTTGTTGCCTTCCAGGAACTGTCGCCACGTGAGTAATGCCCAACGTATCCCATAAGCCTCCTTCTCCCATACGGGCCAGCGCTGTTCTGTTTCCGTGAGTTTCTTAGATGTATATGCACAGGGTTGCAATACTGCATCATCATTTTCTTGTAATAGCACAGCCCCCACTGCCACATCACTTGCATCTGCCTGTATTATGAAGGGTTTGTCCATGTCTGGGTGCCTTAGTACTGGTTCGGCAGAAAAAAGTCTCTTTAGTCTCTCAAACGCTGCTTGGCACTCCATTGTCCATTTTAGTGGCTGGCTAGGTTTTACTGAGGATGTTCCCTTCGTTTTTAGTAAGTTAGTGAGGGGCAAGGCTATCTGTGCAAATGAGGGGATGAATTGGCGGTAAAAATTTGCAAAGCCCAGGAAACTTTGTAGTTGCTTTCTTGTGCGGGGTGGTGCCCATTCTAATACTGCTCTGACCTTCTCTGGGTCCATTTCAATGCCCTGTGGGGATATGCGATAGCCTAGGTAGTCTATCCTTTCCTGGTGGAATTCGCATTTTGAGAGTTTGGCATATAGGTGAGCGGCTCGCAGCTTCTTTAAAACCGCTCTGACAAGTTTGACGTGTTCTTCTTTTGTTTCGGTAAAGATAAGAATGTCGTCCAAGTAAACAAGGACCCCCTTAAACAGGTGCTCCCTTAGAACGTCATTGATTAATTGCATAAAGACTGCAGGGCCCCCTTGTAATCCAAATGGCAAGACTTTGAATTGATAGCACCCCATGGGGCAGTTAAATGCAGTCTTCCATTCGTCCCCTTCCTTGATTCTCACTCGATAGTAAGCTTCCCTTAAGTCTAGTTTAGAAAAAATTTTCCCTTTCGATAGGTGTGACAGCATGTCTTTCATGAGGGGCAGCGGGTATAGGTTGCTTTCACTGATTGTATTCAGGGCCCTATAATCCACGCATAAACGTAAAGAGCCATCCTTCTTCTCTCTAAAAAGGACCGGGGCAGCCACTTTAGGCTTGGCTGGCTCAATGAAACCTCTCTCCAGGTTTTTTTTTATAAATCTTTCCATTTCCTCCTTCTCCTTTGGGCTCATGGAGTATAATCTGGGCTTCGGGAGTTTTGCCCCAGGCTTGAATTCAATGGTACAGTCTGTGGGTCGGTGGGGGGGGAGCTCATTCACCCTCTCCTCACTGAAGACTTCAGCAAGGTCCCTATATTCCTCTGGTATTTCTGTTAATCTTTTTTCCTCTCCTATGGATGCTTTTTCTATTCTTGATTCTGGTAGCCTCCCTTGGGGTTTTAAGTCCATAGGGTCCCCCTTCGGGAATTTGATTTCTGTCGTCCTCCAATTTACCCAGGGGTTCCATTTTTTCAACCATTCCATCCCTAGAATCATTGGGCATTCCATACCTGGGGTCACCACAAACGTTAAGTCCTCTTCATGGTTGCCCAGGGAGAGATGTATTGGCAAAGTGGCTAGGGTAGCTGGCACCCCCCCTGCTATGGATCCATCTAGCTGGCCAAATGAGATTGGTTGTTCCAGTCTCCTGGATGGGATGCCCAGATTCCCCACTAGTGTTGGGCTAATGAGGCAGCGGGTACAGCCAGAGTCTATTAAGGCTTTCACCTTCACAGCTTCGGGCATGGGGGGGATTAATATAGTCACTGTTTTGAAGATGGGTGTGATGCATCCACTTACCAGGGGTTCGCCCTCCGAGCTGTCATCTGAGGCATCCACCGGCCCTGTGGTGTAGGCTGGAGTCCTTTCCCCTTGGTGAGCAGAGGTGGGGGTTTCTGCAATTTCCATCATTCTCATGGCCGTTTCTTTTGGCTTAGCTGAATACTTTCCGGGTTTGTTGATTGGGGATCTGTCTGGGTTGTGCTGGGGGGCCTTTGAGCGGCATTCTACAGCTCGATGCCCTTCTCTTCCGCACTTGAAACATCTCATTTGCTTCTTGGCTGTATCCGATGATTTCACCGGTTGGTGTGTCAGCTCAGGCGGGGGGCGGCTCCATTGTTTTCCTCGGCGGTGCCTCTTCAATATGTCGATCTCTGCTTCCTCTGCCAAGACGTACCATTCCTCAAGTCGATGTGGGTCCCCTCGGGGCAGGCAAGCATCATATAGATCATAGTTTAGTCCGTCTTTGAAATGGCCAAGGAGGATGTCTTCTGGCCAATTCAGTTTGCTGGCAATGGCCCGGAATTCTTGTGTATACTCAGCCACTGGGCGTTTGCCCTGCCTCATCGTTGTTATTCTTTCACGGGCTTTGCGATCAGCCAGGGGGTCTTCAAATCGTCTTCTCAAAGAGGACATGAAACGGTTGAAGTTACTGAGTTCTGGGGCATTGGAGTCATGCAAGTTCACTACCCAATCCGCAGCTGGTCCATCCAGGGCAGATTGCACGATCCGGATGCGGGCTTTGTCGCTGGGAATATCCTGCCCATATTCCTCCATGTAGCTGAGGACTTGGGTTAGGAAAAATCCCAAGCGTGTTGGCTCCCCTTTGAATTTCACTTCCAACGGTGGACGTCTTGGAATGGATCGGTGCCTCTGTTGTGGGTGGTAGTGCCTTCCGTCCAGATTGCCATCTGTGGTCCGGTAGGGGGTGGGAGCTCCTGGATCAGTAGATGTCCCTGGGGTTGCAGGTTCCACGTCCCCCTCGGTGTCTCTCCCTTTGCGGCTCCAGGAACTGGGGCAGCCGTAGGGTTCAGTATTCTCCTCTCCTAGGGAGCTGAGAGTTCTCTTCATCAGGTCAATAGCTTTCTCTAGGATCCAGTCTGAGTACGGTGCCCAGCTTCCTCCCTCTTCACTTGCGTGCAGGGATTTCTCCATCTCCTGCTTCCATTCTGGTTGCTTGGTCCCCCGTCTCAGGGTCACCTTTCTTGATTCCTTTCCCCACTCACTTTTCTTTCCAACGCCCATCGACCAGCGAGGCTTGTGGTCCTGTGTCTCCACCACTTCTTCTCCTGAGGAATCTGGCCTCTCGGATCCCAACATCTGGCAAGGTTCCAACTGGGTCAGCGGCTCTCTTTCCAGGGAGTTTTCCCCCTCTCTTGCTCCATTGTCTGACATGGTAAATTTTTGCAAAATCCCCCGGCAAGGGTCTTCCTTCCAGGTGGATTAATTTTGCAAGTCCTGTCTAATGTAAGGACCCACCCCACTTTGCATCTTAAGAAGACAGAACTCTTGGAATAATTCTTCCAACAGGAATCCTTTATTAAGAGAAAATGGTTGCAGGCATGCTAGACAGGACTTGGGGTTCAAGCTCTCCCATTCAAGGTTTTAAGGGGTTCCCCAGTAGTCCCACCCAATCAACCCCCCTTCCAGTGATAGTTTCAAGTATCACAATTCCATCCCCTTTCTTCTTCCGTCTGGATGGAGACTTCAGATAACTACATGAAAGGCAATTACTCTTCTTTGATATGTTAACGCTTAGAGGCCACAATAAACACACATTCAGTCCTTTGAAGTGTGCTGAAGGAAGTGAGGGCCATAAAGCCCCTTTGCTCTCCCCCTTTTCTCCCTCTTATGGCAGAATCCAGAGAAGGCAGAATTGGGAGTTTCTATGTTTGATAATTAAAGATGAAATGATTCAGCAGGCTTAGGAAGCTGCAGAGAGCCCTGGGCAGATCACATGGTTGCCCGGAACCTGACAGGCTGTCACTAGCCTTGTGTGCATGCGCAAGGCGGGAGAAAAGCCTTGCAATGATTAGCTGACACTGTCCCTGCTAGGGGACTATAAAAGGACTCCACACCATATTGTTTGCTGTTCTGTTGGTGAATTGAATAAAGGGAGATGATTTTTGTTACTCCTGCTTCATCTCAATGCCTTTTACTTGGAAACAGAACATATCATCATCATCATCATCATCATCAACAACAACAACAATAATAATAATGTTAGAAAGGACCTTGGTGGTCATCGTTTCCAACCCCCTGCTCAGGCAGGAAACCCTACATCATTTTGGACAAATGGCTATCCGGTCTCTTCTTAAAAACCTACATTGTTGGAGCATTCACGGCTTCTGGAGGCAGGTTGTTCCATTGGTTAATTATTCTAATTCTAATTATTCTATATAAAGTTCTCCTTAGTTCTAGGCTGCTTCTCTCCTTGATTAGTTTCCATCTGTTGCTTCTTGTCCTGCCTTCAGGCACTTTGGAGAACAGCTTGACTCCCTCTTCTTTGGGACAGTCCCTGAGATATTGGAACACTGCTATCATGTCCCCCTTCATCCTTCTCTTCATTAAATTAGACATACCCAATTCCAGTTCCTTATATGTTTTAGCCTCCAGACCTCTAATCATCTTTGTTGCGCTTCTCTGTACTCTTTCTAGATTCTCAACATCTTTTTTACATCGTGGTGACCAAAACTGGATGCAGTTTTCCAAGTGTGGCCTTACCAAGGCACTGTAAAGTGGTATTAATACACGTGATCTTGATTTTATCCCTCTGTTAATGCAGCCTAGTATTGTGTTGGCTTTTTTGACAGCTGCAGCACACTGCTGGCTCATATTTAAGTGATTGTCCACTAGGACTCCGAGATCCCTCTCACAGTTATTACTATTGAGCAAGATAACCCTATACTATACCTGTAGTTTTGGTTTTTCTTGCCTAAATGTAGAACCTTACTTTTTTCACCATTGAATTTCATTTTGTTAGATAGCGCCCAGTGTTCAAGTCTGTCCAGGTCCTCCTGTATTTTGGAGTGTTGGCTATTCCGGCCAGCTTGGTGTCACCCGCAAATTTGATGGAGTTCCCCATCTATCCCCTAGTCCAAATCATTGATGAAGATGTTGAGGAGCCTTGGGGCATCCCACTACACACTTCCCGCCATGTACATGCAGTTCCATTGAGGACCACATGCTGAGTACGGCTGGTCAGCTAGCTACAAATCCATCTGGTGGTGATACTGTCTAACCCACATCTTATTGAGTAGTAGGTTGTGATCTACTTTATCAAATGCCTTACTGAAGTCCAAGTAAATTATATCCACAGCATTCCTCTGATCCACTAATTTTGTCACTTGGTCGAAGAATGCAATAAGGTTTGTCTGGCATGATCTGTTTTTGATAAACCCATGTTGGCTTTTAGTAGTGATTTTGTTAGTCAACTTTGTTAGCCAATGAAAATCAGACAACGGAGCCAAAAATCAAGAAACCAACAGTTAGACTAAACAATTTCCCTTTGTTCTAGAACCCTTCACATTCTTATGTAACTTGGCTCTATATCATGCAGCCTGAACAGTGGTGGGATTCAAATATGTGAACAACCGGTTTTCTGTGTGGATGCCACTTCCGGAAGTCCATTCTGGGCCTGGGCAACAAAAAATTAGCTACCGGTTCTGTCAAAGTGGTGCGAACAGGCTGAATCCCACCACTGTATTTCGATGTGTTGGACGGCAAAATGGTGGATACAGGGAGATTCCATTGCTGTGAGAAAGCTATGAATGCCAAAGGCTCTGATCCCTATGTCTGTCAGTGGTATAAAAAAGTATACTCATCCCTGTGCCCTTTTTGGGAAAGTAAATTATGTAAGTCTGGCAAAAGCATTTTTGTATAAGAAACCAGTTGGGGCAAAAGAAGACACTCAGTAAAAGATCTCTCCCTTTTCAGTGGGTCAGCCATGAAGGGTCAGACCAAAATACTTTGGAGTAAAGCGCTAGAATCCCTGGCATATCAATCATGGGTGTTGTAGTTCCAGTCCATCTGGGAAACAATTGATTACCAACCCCACGCCATCAAAAAATTCCATTCAGAATTGTATTCAAAAGATTTCTTGTCCCTCTCTTTCAGGACATAATTGAGAAGCATAATTGTATGGAAGAGTTACAGTTCTAACGGCATCACGCTTATTGAGAAACGGTGATCAAAGGAATGTCCTGTTTTTTTGCAGGTTGACAGCTGGGATGAACTTCGGGAAAATGGCGCTTTTCCAGGCAAAATCTGATGGTCTTTTGTCTGCCAGTAACTCTCCCTACTCAGGATGTTGCACTGCTGAGTCCTTTCTGTGTGTACATCTGAAGGATTGTCTGAAATGGCTCTTGTCTGCCTGAGCATCTGAATCATTTAATAGTACAAAACGTTGATATTACCCATTCTAATAAAATGCAGAGTACCCATGCCTGTGTTTATCCTGCTAACTCAGTTAATGATTCATGAATGTCTTCTACCACATGCTTTATCTATGGTAATGTTCTCAAAGAAAGGGACAGATGTCATTACTGTGGTATATGTGGTGCTTCCTCACTGACCCCTTTTAACAAGATAGAAGCCTTTCCATTCATTGTGTTAGATAGCTTATCTTTACATGGGAAACTTTATAGCTGCCTATATGGGTAATAACAGCAATTATTACTCCAGGGTCAGCCATTTCACATCTGCTCATTTCATAGTTGCTAATCCCATGTTCTGGGCTAAGTAAGTACCACGTGAAAAATGTACATGGGCACATGGTCTTGATTTCAAAATTTTTGAATAGCCTCATATGTTGCCTCCTCTTATCATAGGCAGCCAGTGAACACATAAAGATCTGATCTTGAAAATGGCATCAGATATCACACAGGCTCACACATAGTGTTAAATTATTGTGTCTTTCTTTGCAGGCTAGCTGTTGAGCAGGCTAAGTCAACAACTCTGTTTTATGAAGAGAAGACTCATGGTTTAAACAGTTGAGTGAAAATATTACTCTAAACTCAAGTGCCCGGCTGAGGAATTCTGGGAGTTGAAGTCCACAAGTCATAAAAGTGCCAAGTTTGAAGACCCCAGCTATATATCTTTCTAGCGGAAAAAAGTGTTTGGGTGCTATATCTGGTCTTGTGTATTTTCTATATACTCTTAAAGGCAGTATCTACTAGGGAATCAGAGGCATGTGTGTTGTGATGGCACAATACAAATGAAATACATGCATGGTACTGTAAGGTCCCAGTCCCTTACTTAAACTTGAGATACCATATTAATCTAATTAGATAACCCAAGAGGAGACTTCTTGATTAAGCAGCATTTTATTTGATCAAATTAAGCAGCTGGGTGGCCAACAATCTGGAAGGCTGGCAGAGTCACGTCCAGAAGTGCCACGTCTTAGAAAGTTGGTAGAATTGCTTTATCAACTTTGTTAGCCAATGAACATCAGACAACAGAGCCATTCCATCATAAGAAAGACATCAATCATTCCTGTACACTCCCTTATTCCCTCCTTCAGTATATCCCATCCATGTACACGTTTCCCAAGCTTGCATGAAATTTCTCTGGTGCAAAAGCTGATTAAAAAAAGCAAGAAATCAACAGTTAGACTAAACAATTTCCCTTTGTTCCAGAACCCTTCACATCCTTATGTAACTTGGCTCTATATCATGCAGGCTGAACAGTGGTGGGATTCAAATATGTGAAAAACCAGTTCTTTGTGTCAATGCCGCTTCCGGAAGTCCATTCTGGGCCTGGGCAACAAGCTTCCAGTTCTGCCGAAGTGGTACGAACTAGCTGAATCTCACCACTGACCCTGAAGCACGAAAGAATACTGATAATAAGACTGGATATGTATCTCAATAAAAACAGACCCTTCCAGAAAGCAAAACACTCTAATATGTGATTAATGCTGTCTATGTGAGATGTTGGTGTTTTTTCTTTTAACTGGAAATATTTTTAAATCTAAAAAAGCCAGGGCTGTTAGACCATATAAAGGCAACCACACACTCAGTTGACCTATTTGTTTGGCTAGTGTTGAAAAACAACTGTTTCTGTATTATGAATAGTGGTGGCAACTGATACTAACTTAAGTCCAACAGTTTTCAGGGTTGCAACACTGGTTTGAAAAGACTCCACATTTGCACAGCTGGCTGTGCAAAGCACTGGATGGATGCTCTCCACAGCTGTAATTTGTTTGAATTTGACTTGTTTAAAATTAGCCTTCACCTTTAAATTTCATCTTCTCCAGATGCCTGGACTTAAACTCCTAGAATTTCCCAGTTAGGATGGTAATTGTGGAGAATTAGGGAAATTGAAGTCTGTACAACTCGGGGGAGGGTATCCTGCTATGGTACCAGACTGGCTCAGGAATTCTGGGAGTTGAAGTCCACAAGTCATAAGAGGAGCCATAGTTCCCCACCTCTGCTCTAGAAGCAGCTGTGCTTTTGGGATTGGGACCCAACAGGAAAATGAGGGGTGGAGCTAGAGCATCCTTGTGCCCGTTATTCCGACGCCTCTCTAGCCTCCCCGTCGCTGATTCCAGCATCTTTGTGGCCTGTTCTGCAGGTGAAAGTCACTTTCAGGAAGCTGCTCCTTCATTAGCCTCATTGCAATGAGAAGCCGGGACTCTCTCACAACCGCCTGGGGAGAGGAGTCTGGCTCCTCCAGGCCTTCTTTCCACCCTTGGAGGGGGATCCCCGATGGTCCTGACCCTTGGGAAGAGTGCGGGAAGGCCCAGAGCTCAGGGTGCCTCCACCCCAAAGGGGAGACACACCCATCTGTGTCTTTGGGTAGCAGTCTGTGTCTTTCCAGCCATTGGCACGTCAGTTTTGGGGATGGGTAGAGATGGGAAAGCCTGGTGGAAAAAATCCCATTTTGTTTGGCACCATACAAATGAAATACATGCATTCTGCTGTGAGGTCCCAGTTCCTTACTTAAACTTTAGATACCATATTAATTTAATTAGATAACCCAAGCAGAGACTTCTTGATTAAGCAGCAGTTTATTTGATCAAATTAAGCAGCTAGGTAGCCAACAATCTGGAAGGCTGGCAGAGTCCCATCAAGAAGTGCCACATCTTACAAAGTTGGTAGCATTGTAATAATAATAATAATAATAATAATAATAATAATAATAATAATAATAATAGAGGCACTACCTTGACGTGGTTGTGGGGCTTGTGTACTCTGAGGAAGATGAGAGCTATGCCAGAGGTTCAACCTCTGTATGGAAAAACATCATCTGAAATAGAATCGCTGCTCAACACTGTCCGTATATATAGCCAAGATATTGTTATGGAGTTTGGCTTGGACAAATGTGCCACACTTACTATCAAACAAGGAAAAATAATGAAAACTGAAGGAATCAAGATGCCCCACGAAAATAACATTAAGAGTCTGGATGAGGAAGAGTACTACAAATACTTGGGTATCCTTCAAGCTGACAACATCAAGCACACTGAAGTCAAGAAAAAGATTAGAGGTGAATACATCAAGAGAGTGAAGAAGATCTTAAAATCCAAACTCAATGGAGGAAATACCATAAAGGCAATCAACACCTGGGCAATCCCAGTCATTAGGTACACCGCTGGAATAGTGGACTGGACTCAAGCAGAACTAAAAGCAATGGATAGGCAGACCAGAAAAATAATGACAATGAATCATGCCCTTCATCCACGCAGTGACATTGATAGACTTTATCTCCCAAGGCAAATAGGTGGGCGTGGAATGCTACAAGTACATCAGATGGTTGAAGAAGAATATCTTTGGAAGAATATCTGAAGAACAATGATGAAGATGCACTGAAATTAGTATATCAGGAAGGCTTACTAACTACTGGAGAGACCAAACTGGCCTACAAGAAAGACCAAATGAAGAACAGAATAGAGGCATGGGAAGACAAAGCACTACATGGCCAATACATGAAAAAAATAGCTGGGAAAGCAGATAATAATAAAACCTGGCAATGGCTAAGAGCAGGAAAATTGAAGAAAGAGACCGAGGGACTAATTCTGGCTGCACAAGACCAAGCCTTAAGGACAAATGCATACAAAGTCAAAATTGAGAAGACAGCAACAGACAGTAAGTGCCGCCTATGCAAAGAAGCTGAAGAAACAGTGGACCACTTGGTAAGCTGTTGCAAGAAGATTGCACAGACTGATTACAAGCAGCGGCATGACAAAGTAGCAACAATGGTGCATTGGAAGATCTGCAAAAAATATCATTTGCCTGTAAGCAAAAACTGGTGGGATCATAAAATAGAGAAAGTCATAGAAAATGATAAAATTAAAACTGCTCTGGGACTTCAGAATTCAAACAGACAAGCACCTGCAACATAACACCCCAGACTTAACAATTGTCGATAAGAAAGACAAAAAAGTCTGGATAGTGGATGTGGCAGTGCCTGGAGACAGCAGAATAGACGAGAAAGAACTGGAGAAGATAACAAAATACAAAGACCTACAAATAGAAATAGAAAGACTGTGGCAAAAGCAAGCAAGGGTAGTACCAATAGTCATAGGCTCCTTGGGTGCAATCCCAAAACAACTGGAGCACCACTTGAACACCATTGGCATTGACAAATTCGCTATTAGTCAATTGCAAAAGGCGGCCTTATTAGGAACTGCTTCCATCCTGCGACGATATCTGTAATACCATCAAACATCCACATCTGCCTATCCCAGGTCCTGGGTAAGGACTCGATAGGTAGACAAAATGCCAAATCCAGTCTGAACATCTGTCTGACTGTGCGATGATCCATAATAATAATAATAATAATAATAATAATAATAATAATAGTAATAGGTGCAGGTGCTTGTCTGTTTGAATTTTGAAGTCCCAGAATTCAAACAGACAAGTATGTTGCAGTTGCTTGTCTGTTTGAATTCTGGGACTTCAGAATTCAAACAGACAAGCACCTGCAACATAACACCCTAGACTTAACAATTGTCGATAAAAAAGATAAAAGAGTCTGGATAGTGGATATGGCAGTGCCTGGAGACAGCAGAATAGAAGAGAAAGAACTGGAGAAGATAACAAAATACAAAGACCTACAAACAGAAATAGAAAGACTGTGGCAAAAGCAAGCAATAGTCATAGGCGCCTTTGGTGCAATCCCAAAACAACTGGAGCACCACTTGAACACCATTGGCATTGACAAATTTGCTATTAGTCAACTGCAAAAGGCGGCCTTACTAGGAACTGCTTCCATCCTGCGACGATATCTGCAATACCATCAAACATCCACATCTGCCTATCCCAGGTCCTGGGTAAGGACTCGGTAGGTAGACAAAATGCCAAATCCAGTCTGAACATCTGGCTGACTGTGTGATGATCCATAATAGTAATAATAATAATAAAGTTAGAAAGGACCTTGGTGGTCATCGTTTCCAACCCCCTGCTCAGGCAGGAAACCCTACATCATTTTGGACAAATGGCTATCCGGTCTCTTTTTAAAAACT